TAAAAAAGTATCACGAAAATCTGTTCAGAAATGGCGAAGATATGACAATATACATACAAACAAAAATTCGAACTATAAGCTCTCGTTTGCAGTCGGTGAATAACACAAAAAACGCAATTGCCGTGTGAGTGACAATTTAATGAAGTGTTGGTCCATTGTGCAATTGTAGGCGAGGTTATTAAAAGCTTACAACTAATGAATGGATGCTTGATGAATAGTCGGTTTCGTAACGTAGAAGTTTATTTGAATTGGGTTCGTCAGCCAAATAGAATTTAATATACTAGATATGTCAATTAGCTTACATAATGTTATAAAGGCAACCTTTAGCAATATAAAGTTTATTGAAACGGTTTCTGTCATTAAATTTTAACATATTATTTATAAATATGCATTTTTGACCAATATTCTCATGAAATCGGTACTCTTCAAAACAATTTAATTAAAATTTCATAGTTTGTTCTTTTTTCAATGCAATTTCTGGAACTACTAATCCAATTTAAAAAAAAACTTTGGCATAGGATATTTTGCTTTGCATATTTGCAGGAAAGGTTATAGGTATATCTAACATCACATGAGTACTTTCAGTGGAGCAATTATATGTAGGTAAATAGGCAAATCTATACATATAATAAAATTGTAACTAAGCCGAATCTGTTAAATATTTTTTGAAAAATCTTATTGAAATAAATATTATTATCGATTCAGAGGCTGAATCTATAGTTTTTAGATTTTTTGTCTGTCTTGAAAAACTACTGGAGGAATTTTGATAAAATTTGGTACAGAGTTAGCTGGTTACCCGGGTCAACATATAGAATACTTTTTACCGCGGGAAAATATCTCATTTCTGAGAAAAAATACAAAAACTGCATTGTAACAGTATACTAATATGTAAAACCTAAGAATTTGGTTTTTTGTCATCTGAACGCGGGCGGAGCCGCGTCAATGCTAGTACAACTATAAAAATACAATAATAATATACAAGACGTTGCCCGTGGCCTCGCAAAGAAGATTTCATAAACATAGCTAGCGTAAACTTATAAGGAGATTTTTGTACATTAATATTTTTTGCTAACAAACTTCAAAAAAATTTAAAGTTTAGTTTGTTAGTTGACATTGTTTGTCTATATAATATATCTATAATATAATATATGAGGTTAAAATTGGTTATTAACAAAAAAATATTATTTTCTATCATAATTATTAAAATACACAAGCAAATATTTTTCTTCATATGTCTGGATATATCTATAACATAATAACAAATTGTGATTAAATTATTGTTTGTCATCTAGATATTACATACTTACAAATTTTAGAAGCGATATGACTATTACAAGTTGGTAAAAGATTTGATTATAAACTTATTTAGAAGTGAACCTAATAATAAAATATTATAAGAATATATTATACAGAATAAATAAAATTAGCATAAAGATAATATATGCAAAACCATCAAATTTAACAATGAGTAATATGCCTAATTCTAAAATTACTATTTGTCGAGTTTTGATTCCCATTAAATACTAATAAATCATATCTAAAGCGAGCATGACAGATTATATCAAACTATTTGTAATTTATTACGCCTCTCACATGTATTAAAGGCTCAAATAATATCTGTTTTAAAATACCTATTATTTAGTTTTGTTTTAGTTATGTTATTTTATCTTAGTTATACTTACGATGTGAAATAACAACCTTTATCGATAATTTATGTTAATTTAAAGAAACTATAATAAGTTTTTAGCAGAAGAAATAGACTAATATCGTAATCGAAGTACTTAATATATGTACATACTTACTGGAATAAAAAGTGATTATCTTCACCCCCCCTTTTTTTTTTTTATGTCGGGAAATGCATTTACGCATACCACCTGATCCCCCAGGTGGTGATGTGGGGCTCACCGGCTAGAAGAGCCGGTACTACCCACTAAAACCCGACATTCCCCTCCCCTCCGCCTTAATGGGACGCCGCAGGATCGCTTGCGCATAACTACTACGGCGCCCCGGCGGCAGGTCTGCTTAAACGCTAGGCAGACCACCAAACTGATGGGGCTGCTCCACAGTCAACTCTGCTATGCCAGAGAGGTACCCGGAGCAGCCCCATTAAACCTAACCACCGCCCACCGAAGTGGGCCACCTCCAATCGGCTGCAGAGGACAGGGAGAGCGGCAACGAAACACCGACACTCCTCTTCCCCTGCAGCCCCACCGTGTCCGCCATCAAACGGTGGCGGCCCCGTCTAGGCCGCGGAAGGTAGGGAGAACGGCGCACCGAAATACCGGCACTCCTCTCCCGCCGCGGCCTACCCCTCCGCCGGATGCGGGCCTGCGACCACAGTCCCGCAACCGGCACCCATCATCCGGTTGTGGGACCAAGCGGTCCCACCACCGGTGGCCGCAACGTCTTCGGCTCGAGGCCTAGACGAGCGGCCCCATCCAAGCCATTTGGTCCGCGCCGGATTTCTCCAGTACCACCTCTTCACCCCCCTAAAAGGGATGATTTCCGGGATAAAAAGTATCCTATGTCCTTACCAGGGTCTTAAATTATCTTCTTACCAAATATCATCTAAATCGGTTTGATAGATCCAGAGATTACCCCCAACAACTTCACAAACTTACAAACTTTACCTTTTTATAATATTTGTATAAATGGAAATCAGTATATAAGCTATCTCTATACCAAAAACTCAAATCTGTTGAGCCGTTACTGAGCTGCGTAAACAAACATTCATTCATTCAAAAATGTTCTATATAACATTAGTAAGGATTGTATAAGTATAATAACCGTTATGACTAAGTTAACTATTATAACTGTAAGAAACACAAATTATTCAAAATATTATATCAATATTGAATGATATTAACTTATAATACTTTTATATATAATTTTCGAGTAGAAAAGCCATAAATATATTACTTTAGAAAATCATCAATCATTCTTTAGGTAGCTGGTGGATACAATAGTTTTATTGTCTTTTATACTGGAGCCAACAATGACTCATAATTTTGTTATTCCTGTCGAAATGAAAGTTAGATTTTAAGACAAAGACGTAATTTGCGTTTTTCTTACGACGATTGTTTATGAAAGGAAGTTGAGCATACTACTGCTGAATATATAATATGTAATATAATAGGTACCTATATTGTAACAAAAATATTTTTATATTATAACGTCGTAAAAATATTTGAAGACACATTTGACTCAGATTGCAGTGCTACCCTACTTGCTGTATTAACGGTCGCGGGTTCTAGTCCCGCTGGGTGCATTCATTTGTGTGATGAGCACGAATGTTTGTACTTCAGTCATGGGTGTTTATATTTATAATATGTATGTATTTAAAGTTATATATGTGCAGTGTATTAACTATCTGGTATCCATAACACAAGCCTCGTAGCTTACCATGGAACTAGATGAATGGTGTTATGTTAATGTCCCAACATATTTATTTTATTTATTATAAGTCTGTGGAATGAACTTATTTGTTTATTATAATATTGTGTATCTTTGTAAAATAATATTGTTTAAAATTTCAAGCTTTGATGACTCAAAATCAATACCAAGAAGTATACATAAGCACTAGGTATATATTTTTCACTTTTATGTAATATTATATCCTGTGTTTTACGTAGTGGTAGGTATTAGTTACTGTTAGCAAGAAAAGTAACTGTATAATATATACAAACCATAATCTTCTAGCGGGATTGAGCTCTCGCCATCCATCGCAGTAAGCACCTTCTCGTAAGACGAATATGATCCAGAGCCACAATGATCTTCAAAATTTGAAATTTTGAAAATAATTCCTAAGAAAAACAATAAAGTAAAAAATATTTTTTCTATTTCTAGTTTTTTAAACAGTTGAAACTTTCAAACTAACTGACTGACTTATGAAACTTCAAAAAATTGCAGTCAGTTGACAAAAAACTTCAGTAGTAAAATCGCAACTAGCTTCTCAGTTATAAAATTGCAAATGATATCGTCCTCAATAGATCTTTATGTACTAGGGATGCTTCAATTATGATTTTATTTGAAAGCCGGACGAGCGGAATGGTAACGTGGGGACGATATTTTCAATCCTTTCGCAACTATATCTTATTGGACTATGAGAAACTTGTTTTAAGCATATTTTTTGCTAAAAATTTAGAGGAATATAAATTATAACAATAACATTTAAAATATTTTTACATAATAAGAAAAAATATGCATAATAAGAAATAAACGTTAAGTTAAAAATAATGTCATGAAAAATTGCCTGAAATTTATTTTTTTAAGTAAAAAATAATGTACTAAATTAATAAATTGCTGGTAATAAAACCTCGATGCCACTGCAGTAAGAGAGGATGACCATCACATTGGCAGTATTCCCATATAATTAAAATAAAATTGCTGTAAGATAATTGCATCTACAATTCTTTTGTAAATTAACAATGTTATTTAAAATTCAGCGAGCTTTCCTACTTTGTGATTATTATATGAACTGCTTTAGGTGACCGTAGTATTTCAGTCACGTCGCCGGCTGTCTCTTAACAGATCTAGTATATTTTACATTTATTTTAAAATAAAGTGTAAAAGTGTCTACTTAATTATTTTAATTGAAGGTAATCTGAATAAATAAATTTATTGTTTTATTTCTCATTTATATGCTTAATTTATTAAGAAAAAATGGATTTATATGTGAATGGGTGAAAATAAAAATATTTAATGCAAAAATTATCACAATGGCTTTATTAAAGTATATAAATAGGTATACTGTGTGACTTAATATGGACATTAATTATTATTTACAAACTATTTACAAATTCACATATTCTACAGCAGTCTTATAGAATTTATTTACACCAACATTACGAAAACAGCGCTCTCTTTAATGGTTAGAAATTACAAAAATAGATTAAAATCTTAATAATTTGGAAAGCGCGCGTTGCAATTATTACAATTTACACAGAAGCTTTGACTAAATAAATGGTTTTTTTTATATTAACATTTAGAAGCAAAGACTAGACAAGATAAGCTTGACCTGATCGTTGTGTATCAATTAGAGGAGGGGGTGGCGGCCAATGCCTAAAATCCCGCCTTCTATTTTGAATGTTACCACCTAATTCTAATGAAGAGTAATCGGAATCAATTGATGAGTATATGTGGTCTGAAGGTGGTCTACCATCCGGCCCATAAACCGACTGAGCATTCTGTGATCGACTTTCAAGGAATTCTGGCGTGGCTGTCACACTATCATTAGGTCCCCTCATCTTTTCGTGGAAAGAAAATGATCTCATCGTGCCATTCTGCATATTACTTCGCATAGTATATGAATTTATGTTATTTCGGTAACTAGACGATTTAGATTTATATCTACGATCTGGCATTGCATACCTTAATTTTTCCCAAAATTTATTATGACCCCACTTTATTCTTAAACTTGTTTTCATATATGGCCTTAAATCGGGATCCATTTCGGCTTCAGTCAAAATTGAACTGTCTTCTATGAGTACTAAGGTGTAAATCCTTCTTTTTAAGATATCGTGTAGAGCTTGTCTAAAATCGAACCGTGACCATTCAGTTTCTAAAAAGTTTCTTGTTAAGACAAGAATTATTCGTTTGGATGCTTCGGCTGCTTCCGGTAGTGGTAAAGTGTATTGCATATATGCTGTACCATGTTGCGGTATATCCCTATAATGTAAACATAGATGATAAGATGGAGTGCCGTTCTCTAATTCTGCTGCTAATGTTTGTATTACGAAGTCATCATCTTTAGGACTGTAGCATATGTATGCATCATATAATTTATCTGTGCCATCATAGGCTCCCGCGAAGGGAAGGAATCTTATACCACAACTTGTGTATAACCACATTCGAACTGTGTCTCTAAATAAGAATATTAAAATTGTTATGAGAATAATTAGCGTAAATCCTGTCAATGTAGTAACCATCATGGGCATGTAATTGGAGATCAGCATACTGTCAATTCCCGTATCACTAGCGTAATAATCGCTGCATATGGTTCCGTTGAGATTTAATTCTTTCCTTTGTGACGACGGACTGCCTAAGTTAATGCACCATACATCTGCTATATCAGTAATTTTAGGAACATTTTCTGATATAAATGCCGTTAGCCTCTGTAGATTTCGACACTTACATGACCACATGTTATTTCCAATCGATAAACCATTTAATTTTTTATTTATAGTCAAGCTCCATAATGAGAAATCTACTAATCTATTTCCATCTAATCTTAATATTTTTAAGGAGAGAAGAGGAGAAAACGTTTTATTTTCAATATGACTTATGAAGTTGTCTTGTAAGTAAAGTTCCGAAAGTTGTGTTAAATACTCAAACTCGTAACCATTTAAATGTTCCAACTTGTTATTCCCCAGATGCAATATAACGAGAGACGATAAGCCAGCGAATGTTCTATTATGTATATTTTCAACTTTACTTGAATTTACATACAGCGATCTCATATTTTTTCTGCCTATGAATGCATAATTTTGCAATTCTTTAAAATCATTCCCATCCAAATAGACCTCGGTTGCATCCATAGGAATTTTTTCTGGTATTTCAAAAACACTTTGACTAGAACAATCGACTACGTTTGTGTGCCAGGTTGGATCGTGGTAACAAGAGCAGTTATTTGGGCAAGTCATTTGGCAATCGCATGCGACGTAGTCACAACAATGGCATAGTGTAAAGCAATGTGTTTCATATGTGCACAAAAAATCTGTTGATTTTAGATTACTTAAAGGTATATGTGTAACTCCCCTCGTGTGAGTCATTTTACATAAAACGTTCTCAAGATCCATTATTCTAGGGTGTTGTCTTGTGGCAGTCATATTGTTTATTAATGGCAACCATTCCATTGAGCAATCGCAATCAAACGGATTTCCTCCTATATAGAACTCTGGCAACGACTTGTTCAAGGGGACTGGCGATAACCGGAGGCTGTTTATATCTAAATGAGATATCTCATTTGCGTAAATATCAACTCTAGTGAGATTTCGCTTCTCCATAAATGTATTTACTTGAATATTGTTAATATGGTTATTGTTTATGAACAACAGTTCTACACTGTTCGGGATTGCTAACGGAGATATTTCTACAATACGGTTATGACTAACATCCAAAGTTTTTATTCGTATTTCATCTTGAATTTTATAATAGTTACCTAGATGTTCTATGAAATTACTGTGAATGTCAAGCCACTTTAAATTACTAGGTATAAATGCGAAGTCAAACCAAACTAAGTGATTTTCTGATAAATTGAGCCATAACAAACTCAACAATGTAGAAAATACTCCATTTATATCTGATATAAAATTTCCATCTAAGCGTATGGCTTCTAATTGCTTATTTCGTTGAAAACTGCCCCTTTCTACAGCTTGAATTTTATTTTTTGCTAAATTTAATACTTGCAAACTAGGCAGATCCCAAAACATGCCAACACTAAGATTTCCAATTTGGTTATCTATCAATCTCAATCCAGTTAGTTGATCTAGGTTTTTAAATGAACCATTTTTTATATCCGATATTAAATTTTCACCTAAGTCTAATGTTTTCAAAAGAGCTAATTCCCATATCGCTTTGGGAACATCTGTTAATTGATTGGAACTCAAATCTAATTCTTTTAAATCTGAGCAATTTTTAAAGGCCTTTGGGTCGATATTAATAAGCAGATTATTATTTAAATTCAATTTGCTGAGCACAAATAACCCATTAAAGAGGTACTCGTCAATAGTATGCAACCGATTTTCAGCCAAATTTAAGGTATGCAAATTATATAAAGGTAGAAATGTGTTCTGCTCTATATATCCAATTGAGTTGTTTCTTAAGTCTAATATTTGAAGAAAGAATAAATCCTTGAACGTCTTACCATCTATCCTTGTCAAGGCGTTATTGGATAAATTCAGAATGACTAAGCGTATAAGGCCAATAAATGTTCCTCCATCGATGTGAGCACTTGAAAGTTGATTATTTGATAAATCTAAGACAAGCAGCTGTTCTAATCGGTGGAAAACGCCTCTGGCTAATTCGAATAGCAGGTTATTATTCAAATAAATTTCTCGTAGCTCTTTCGTGTTGGCGAACGTACCCTCGGGTATTGACTGTAGGTTATTATGAGAAATGTTTAAAATACGCAACGAAATAAGTCCATTGAATATTTCACTAGAAATTTCACTTATGTTATTATTTTGTAATCTTAGTTCTTGCAAGCGTCGTAACCCCGATAGTTCAGAGTCTTCACTTAAAGTTTTTAGTTCATTATAACTTAGATCTAAGCTTCTAAGGCCCGATCCACAACTTTTTCCGAAACCGATACGATCAATACTTTTAATTTTATTATGAGTAATATTTAATATTTGCAAATTATCTAAAGGACAAAAAACATCTGAAGGTACAACTTTAAGATTATTTTTTCCTAAATCCAGTATCTGTAGCTCACGTAAACCATTAAAAGTCCCCAGCGAAAGTTCTAAATTTTTATTCTGACTCCAGTCAAAGTTTTTAGATCTTATCGACAATTCTTTGAGTTTCGATAATCCTTCAAAAGCATTGCCTGGTACTCGAAGAAGTTTGCAATTACGAAGTGTGAGTTCCTCTAACGTTGAGAATCTTTGAAAATAGTTTGCTTCAAGAAAACTTTCAAACAGTAGCAGCTGGTTGCACTCAACGGTCAGACGTTTCGTGCTTTCTGAAGGCGCGGAAGCTAGATTGGATCCATTAGCTTCAAGAGTCCGCACGTGGCACACAGTAGTCCCTTTATCACCATTTATATCTCTTCTACAGTTATCTAAACCTTTCGGAATATACGCGCTAATTACACCCAAAGTCACTAACAAAAGAGTCACCAATTGAAACATTTTTTATATACATTTGTATTTAATCAAATTTAAAGTGTTCATTCACTTATGCACTGTATCAAATTTTGTTCAAATTCACTGGTTTGTTAAACACTTCACTGATCAATGTTTACATTGCGGCGTACGTACGATGTATAACAGAGGCCACGCGGACGCGTGCCTTCCCCATCGTGGCTTGTGTCCGGACTGACGAGGCGGTCCGACTATAGTCGAGCGAGAGTGGTGCGCTCTACTTTGCCCCTCTGACTCTACGCCCCCCGCACCCTAACGTCTCTACATAGTTACTCGTTGCATGGCGCCACTTGCGCGCCCGAGCGCTCTCGCACAATTATGTAATGTTTTCTTAATCGAGCCACCTCGTATCACTTTAAAAAAGGAAGCGCACTACTGTAGAATTTTAAATAATTGCGTATAGATGTTTTATTGAAAATTTAGCAAACATATCAAGTTAGTATAATGTTTGGTAATGTTTTCTTATATATTATAAATGTAATTACTGCAGACAAATAACTATTTCCATTATAATAATTAAATTTCTTACTTACCATAAATAAAAGGGGAACATTAAAGTGACAATCAGTCAAGGAAACAGTAAGCAGGTATTTTGTTCGGGCACCCTTAATTCTTTTTGTCGTCATTTATTGAATTCCCTACTCACATACTTTGCTAAGGATACCCAATAAACCTTGTTCAGTGCCGTGTACCCCTCAACATATTGTGTGTAAAGTAACGTATAGAATTTTCAAACGGATAGCTGCTGTTTTCGGGCTTCGAATTCCAGTATCTCGTACTGGCTTAAAAGGTGGAAAGTTAGCACGAATTATTCATTTAATTTTATTTATTGTTACGTGAATCCGTATACTATAAGTAATTAAGCTACTAGAAGCGTAATAAGTAATAATAATATGATTATATACATTATGTAATATTTTTTTGAAATAAATATAAAAATAAATTATAATAGTAAACAGAATTTGAGTAAAATATGTTTAGTTATACTTCAATGTAACTTATACTTTGAAGAAGCTAGCGAGCAAGCCATTTATTTTCGTATAACCACTAAAAAGGCAGGCTTTAACGCCTATCATAGGCGTTGAAAGATAACAAAAGCTGCGACATTATACGAGAAGTTCGCCACTTAAGTGATAAAACACGATATCCTAAAAACACTTCAAGTAGTCTAATATCCTTAATATTAATGTCCTTCGGCTCGGCATCTTGTATCAAAACTTTTAGATGTCGAGAGTTCTTAGAGCTAGCTTGATAAATGACTTCTCCCACTTTCATGAAAGTTACTCGTGTGTTTTTTCACTATATCAGGAGGCTGCGACAAGGTTAACTGAACGTGCCTTGGATATCGAACACTGTTTACTAACATGGTTATCTGCTACCGTCTCCCTTAGAAATCTCTTCGTTTATTAAGTTTTAGTTCCCTAACTCAGTTTGCTCTTTAAATATTTGAGTGTATTGTTCTCTGTTTTGTTATTACTGCGTAACTCAAATGCATTAACTATTTAAGATAATATAAGATTATCGATATTTTTGATTAAATTTAATACAAGTTTAGTTATCTGAAAAAGGTAAAGGGATTTTTATCTATTCTTAATATTATAAAGAAGAAAAATTGTTATTTTGTTTGTTTGTATCAAATAGGCTCCGAAACTGCTGAACCGATTTAGATAAAATTTGGTAAGAGGATAGTTTTATCCCAAAAGTAATCCCTTAAAGGGGTGAAAATGTGGGTAAAAGTTTGTATGGGGAACCAACCTAGGGACGAACCCGAGCAAAGCGAGTGTGAGTCTCTAGTTTAATGTACAACATTTATTGTTATCATGTAATTATGGTAATGTTTCAATATACAAGAATCTTTTATAAAAAGATCCTGATATTGTAGAACGGTCCTAACGGCAAAATTATCACCATTAATGGATTTTATCAGGCCTATTAACTAAGACGACATGACTTCGTATAGTTTAAGCGATTCTAATTAAAATGCACATTTTACTGCTTGGTAGCATCAATTGTTATCTACGATCGTATTGCGTAGGAATATTTACTAGCTATTATTTTAAATAGAGTTGATTATCTCTAACTTTTAATCTTTCTTATATCGAATAAAGTACAACTGAATAAGTAAAGATAATTTGTCTGTTAAAAGATACATAATATTATCTGAAATAGTATATCAATGCTCGTAAGGCTTAGTACCACACACAGACAAACATTCAGTTATAACTTTTTATATTTTTTTAATAAAATATGTAATTTTTTTTGCATGTCTGTATATAAGTAAATACACTAGCGACTTACTCTCGCTTTGCTCGGGTTCGTCTCTAGCTTGATTCCCTATACAAACTTTCATCCCCATTTTCACCCCCTTATAGGGATGATTTCCGGGATAAAAAGTATTCTATGTCCTTTCCAGGGTCTCAAACTATCTTTTTACCAAATTTCATCTAAATCAGTTCAGTAGATCCAGAGATTACCTCCTACAACGTCATAAACTCGCAGACTTTACCTTTTTATAATATTAGTAAAGATAATGTATTATATACCTAATTCAAAGAATGGTCAAAAAATATTATTACTATCAAAAAATTATATGTAAAAAAAACATTTAGTAAGTCCTATACAACATTTACGTATACTGCAAAGGTTTTAATAAATTGAACGACGATCGTTCACAGGCGAATTCCATGCTTCGAGCTAGTCTTTAATTCCTATTTATTATCTATAAGGATATAACGCATTGCCACCGTATATCAAGTCCTGTTCTTTGAGATCAAAAGAACAGATTGCGAGATGGAATATATTAAAGTATTCCATTCGCACAATAACATTCATCTGCTTATCTTAGTAAGGGATAATATTTGTAAGATTTAGTTAAAAGGTGTAGAACACTGAATCTTTTAATGTTGTACATATTATGTACCTATATGTGTATATAAAGTAGTCATGATGTTTATTAGCAACTAACAGAACCCGCGGCTTCGCTCGCGCTAAAACTACAAAAAAATTTGAAAAAGGTAGGTCTCATACAAACTTTCATCCCCTATTTTACCCCCTTATGGGATGAATTTCGAATTTTTTTTAAACGTGTATTTATTTAATTGTATTGAAGAGCATTAATACCAAGTTTCAAGTAATTCTGATCACAAATATTTTTTTGAGTTGTATTATAACGAGTTTTCCCGTGGGAAAGAGATAATCTCCCGTGGTAAAAAGTAACCTATGTCACTCTCCAGCCTTCCAACTATCTCCACACAAAAAATCACGCCAATCCGTCACTCCGTTTCGGCGTGAAAGAAGGACAGACAAACAAACACACTTTCACATTTATAACATTAAGTATGAATATTTATTATATTTTCTTCATAGACTAAAGTTGCTTATGTATAACTTTATAAATAAAAAAGCAGACAGATGAAATCCCACTTTAGTTTTTACATTATACTTTATACGATCGTTATGTAATTATTTCATAAATTATTCAGTTCGACCGTCTGTGTATTGCTCAGGCAATGTTAGAACTTCTAAACTTTTATTGCCACTGATATTGTTCTTATAATTTGAAGCGGGATATTACTTTCTATTTTACGTATGCAAGATTTCTTTTCGTTACTTATTCAAGAGCCCTAACCTGAAGGTGACTTCACTTAGGTCTATTTCAATTCTTTTAAAATTCGTTATTCGTTACCAAATCCAACTTCAATTAGCATTATTAATAACAAAATATGTTATTTCTAACAAAATACATTACAAATTGTTTTAATCTTTGTCCCATAGTTGCGTGCACTTCTATCTATAGAGAAATCTCCTCTAATCGACACCTGCGGCTTACTCGATACATTCAATGCCAGCAACAAGGGCCATTGCGTGTTCAATTCAAATTATACAGATACTTTAAGCTGACATAATTTAATGGGTACGTATTTAGAGTAAGTCTAGTTTATATATATATAAGGTCTTCAAGGCAGTGATTAGTTTTACTTTTTATTCCTACTAATATTATCTAGCGGTTTGACCTTGCTTCGCTTTAAGCGCTTTTTGTATTTATCTATACTTAATATTATACAGAGGCAGAATTTGTTTGTTTGTTTAAATGCGTTAATCTCAGGAAGTACTAATACGATTTGAAAAATTCTTTTTGCATTATGTTGTCCATTGATTGAGGAAGGCTTTAGGCTATATTATATCATCTATACCTATATATAATCAAATTAAAAGTAAGCCGAATCTGTACATTAAATATTTTTTGGAAAATTTTATTGAAATAGACACATCGATACAGAGGCCGAATCCTTAGTTTTTAGAATTGTTGTCTGTCTGTTACCACATCACGGAAAAACCATTGGTGGTAGCCGGTTATCCGGGTCAACATATAGGATACTTTTTACTGTGGGAAATATCTCATCTCTGAGAAATCTATACTAAACGTTAAAACGTAAGTAGGAACGAACCCGTACGGAGCGAGGGTGAGTTGCTAGTATAATATATAGTCTATCTATTTCATACTAACCGTTAAACATTATAAAGGTATTGTCGCTAAACAAATTTTATTTCTAACAGGAGTCTATATACTATTCCAGATTATAGTCTATTTGTACCTAATCAAATCCGTCCAACCGCTTTAGCAGATTAGATTTTCGCATTAATATAGTAATATGATGTATATTTGTTGGATAATCCTTGTTTCAAGTGATAATTTGAAGTGATATACCAGACAATATTTTATGAATATCAACTTATTTTCATGGGATATTAATTACAATTAAATATTTTCTAAATATCACAAATTTACACATTTATTCATCATCTTTTATTAAATTTTTGCCAACTCTTTGTTTTTTTTCTCATGGTTTTCCGCTCAAACACTTAAATGCATGGATTTTGTTCTTAGTATTCTTATAAGCTTTGCTGTTACATCATAAATATTTAAGATATGATTATTATAATTAATTTTTTAGAATTAAAATAAATTTATTTGCTCTGAGGAAAAA